TTTTTTTTTCAAGGTAACTGGTGTATTTACACATATTTGGGTTTTTTTGTGTTCTTTTTTTTTTTTGCCAATTGTAATCCCAGATGTTGAGCTGATTTCTGCATCCATGTAAGGCGCGTGCAGCCTTCGTGTTTAAACTTGAAACTTTGTGTTTGAGCGCTTTGCCTGCTCATTTCTTGGAACAGTGCAGGTGAAGTGTCAGCCTGCTGCTCTCATATACATCCGTGCTGGTCTCGTTAACACCGGAAATCGGTTCCCATAATGTAATAAAGCCCACATGGTTTCCCATCACTGCCCTCCTCCCCCTCCTCCGGTACGTGGCGCACAGACACAGTTGGTTCTCATCCAGGACGAGAGAACAGCTTTGACTCCCCCCACGCTTCGGATCAGACCCCCACCCCTCAGAGAGCACCTCCTCCAGGGTTGGAAGGAGTCGCTGCTGAAAAGTTGCGCTCGTTTCCTCATTGCTGCAACTTCTCTGCCGCACTTCCTCAAACAAATGCGGCCATAAAAAGACGCTGCTTTTTGCGCGCGTGTTTCTGCCTTGTTGATGTGAAGCGTTTTGTCCAGGAGTTTATTATTATTATTGTTATTATTATTATTATTATTATTAATAATGACGCTGAGCTCTGTGGGGGCTTGCTGCCTCAGCCCGGAGGCCAAGGAGGCTCGGAGGATCAACGATGAGATCGAGAGGCAGCTCCGAAAGGACGAGAAGCAGTCCCATCGGGAATTTAAGCTCCTGATGCTGGGTGAGGGCAAAAACCAAGAAACCTGCGGGCAACTTGTATTTATAGGCAACTTTTATTCATAGGCAACATTTACTTATAGGCAACTTTTATTTATAGGCAATATTTCTAAAAGCAAAAGTGGCTGCATGCATCCACTCCTCCAAAACGCACAAAAAAACTTCAGGACCAACCTGAGTCAAAACTTGCATAAATATTAACATTAATGTCTACATGTATAATTCAGACCTTAATTAAGTCTAACTGGTTTTGGTTGTCATTTAAAAACTGTCAAAATGACAGGAGTGTAATAAGTGCAAAGACAGAATACAAAATAATTTCTTTTTTTTTTTTTATTTGACTGAATTTGCTCAAATTTGACATCAGAACATGAATGATGTGTTCTTGTGTTGATGATGTATTTATTTGCAGAGTTCAGTTGTTTTAATGCAAATAAAAAATATGTACATAAAAACGAGATCAGGCAATTAAACTGAATGTTTGCAAGAACCTCATCTGGGATTTCTAATATTAACACAACTGGTGAAGTACGCTTCCATCATGTCCAGTCTAAGCTTATGGTGATAAAATGAAGCTATCTCCTAAAGACGCGTTAAACTTTCAGTGTGAAATACTACATAAAGTTGTCATCTTGAGGACAATTGTTAAAATTTGCAAATTGTTTTTAAAGTAAAAGTAAAAAAACAACAAAATGTAGCCTAAAATATCCAAAGAGAGCTACAAAAAAAGTTGCATTTGTTAATAATGTGTTGGTTTTTTCAGACAACACTACTTTAGTCAGAAGGTCAATAAGAACTATTATCAGCTAACCTGGTGTTGAAAATGCAGATATTTCAATTTACCTTGAGCAGGATGATAAACAACTGTAGCATCAACCTGGGAGGTGTGTGTGTGTGTGTGTGTGTGTGTGTGTAAGCTGTAAGGCAGTCCTGCTTCTGTTTTCTAGAAAGACTGACTCAGGCTGAATCTGCGGTCTTGTATTTGGGTTCAGAAGTCTGTATTCTTCAGAGGAAGTCCACTTGATTTGATGTCTCGCAGATCAGCAACGTCTACCTTACACTATACCGTTTTGTTATTTCCCCTCATGTTTGTTCTTTAAGTGTTGGCAAAAATAAAGATTCAATTTTCTGGTTCAAAACAGACTTGAGTAATTAGGGGAAGTCTAGGATTGCGTAAGACTGACTGGAAACAAAAGATTTTCTTGCATCTAATAAAATAAGGTGATCTGTTCATGTAGATCAACTGTTCTTGAAAGCCACCTCTAGTAAAGTTGTGCTGAATCATTGTGGTGTTCTGAGCTAAATGCAATATATCAGCATACCATATAGCCAACGGTAATGGTTCTAACATGCTGATGCGAAGCAGGTATTGACTTGCAGACATGCTATAATTTTCATCCTAATGGATGGGAGTGCAGTCAGCTCTGCAGATATTGACTCGTAGATTAAAATCCTCAATTGTGTTTATATGAAGGTTCTGGGTTTGAAGCTTCATTTCAGTTTGTACCTTAATGTTTGGGATAAACTCCCTTGATGCCCGCATTCCTCCCACAGTCCAAGGACACGCATGTTAGATATGTGATTCTAAATGTGTCAGAGTGTCTCTGATTTGTTCATGTGACGGACTAGTGATCTGCACACTGTGTGCCCAAAGTCACCTGGAAAAGGCTTCAGCACCCCCGTGGCTCTAAAAAGGATAAAGTGTTTAAAGCTGCTGGATGGATTAGCAAAGTGGGCCCAGTTCATCTTGATGTGAACATGAATTTCTTTTTCAAGCAGTGAACTGAAAAGCTGACATTGCAGACCACGTCAGTTCGATCCATTGCAGTTTCCTCAAATCAAACTCTGACTTGAAGAAACAGACAAATCTCTCCAACTCTTAACATTCAAATTCAATATGCCTATCTTCTGCATAAAAAAAGAGTAATTGCTACGATTGTGCCACTTAATTGTGGTTTAACCAAATTTTTGCAACATGAAATTAGCATAACAACTAAGGAAATTTGTGTGGTTGATTATCTTTTGTTTTAATAATGCTTCTTTACAATAAGACTCATACTTTTCGAAAGCCGGTTTATTCACCTTTAAGGTGCCCCATTTATCAGGAACATGTTTTGCTGTAGCAGACATGATTTGGCAAGTTTTTCATGGGTGCAACCCACATACTAAACTCAGCTGCTCAACCTACAGATGCATTTTTCTTATAAACAAAACTATTTAAAGGGATATATGCAAGCCTTCCAAAAGATGTATTACCAAGAAGCATGAATACAATAAGAAATAATCAACCAAACACAAATATCCATACTTTTTGTGCCATGTTTATAGTCACAGAATGCTGAGGAAGTTTTTCCTCTAATATTGCAAGTAAAGTTTTATAGCATCTTTATCAGGTAAAAACAACAAATTACTTTATAAAATTTTATGTTGCATTGATTGTTTTGGGCTGAAGTGATAGAATGAATAAAATGAGAGCAATGGACAGATGGAGGATTAGTAAAGAGGAAGTCAGGGCAGGTATGAAGAGTGGACAAGGATGGTTGATACAGATGGCATATCCGTAGAACAGTATTCCCCAGTCCTGCTCCTTGAGGACCACTATGCTGCATGTTTGAGATATTTTCCTGCTCCAACACACCCAGTTTTATTGAATGATTAGGCTTCTTCAGAACAGAAAGACCCATGGAAGAGCAGGGAAACAACTAAAACATGTAGGATTGCATCCCTCGAAAGACCAGGATTAAGGACCACTCCAGCAGAAGTATGGAGATGTCAAGGTGTGCAGCAGACTTTTTTAATCCAAATTGTGGAACACAATCTTAGAGATTGAGAAAATGCCTGAGAAATGGAGTGGTGTGGATTTTCAAGAACATAAGGATCAAGGATGAAGTTGGTGAACCACACCATGAAAGCATGGTTATCAGGTTAAGATATGAGGTGGGTGAGGATCAGTGAACAGCAATATAGTTTTATGCCAAGAAAGAGTTACAGAGCTGATGTTTGCTTCAATAGAATTTATGGAGAAGTACAGGGAAGGTCAGGAGGAGTCGCACTGTGTGAGTATGTGAGTATGTGAGGGTAGTGCTGTGAATATATGAGGATAGTGAGGCGGTGATAAGAAGTGTGGTAGGAGACAGATGGGTTTAAGGTGGGGAATTAAGTCAGGGAACAGCACTGATTCCCTTCTTTCATGGTGATGGACAGGTTTACAGATGAGGCCAGACAGGAGTCTCTATGGTGTTTGCAGATCTGCAGTGAGAGTATGGAGCAGGTGGAAGAGAGCCTAGAGAGGTGGAGGTATGATCTAAAGAGAAGAGCATCAAAAGTCCATAGATTACATTAATCTAAAGGAGAGGAAAAGAAAACGAAAAACATTTCTAATTTGTGTTTCGACAGCACATTTCTTCTCTTATTTAAGAATAAAGTTTAGACATCTATATGCTGAATTTACTTTTTGAACAGTTAATAGATAATACTACATGGCCACCAGTGTATCTTGTACCTGCTGCTACAAAATTTTTCCAACTAACATGATTCTTTATATTAGAGTATAGGCTAATTCAACACCTTTTTAAGCAATTCTTGCATTTTAAAGGAAGTTATGTTGTAAGTTCCTTACGAGGTCATCGGTGTCATTAGCAATTGAATTCTTCAAGGTTCAGACAGCCTGTTTTGATAGATACACAAAGGCCATGTGTTTATTCATTTCATGGTGGCTTTGAGCTGGTGCAGTGTGGATGCAAAACAATGTCATGTTTTGGTTTGATGGCCAGGGACGGGCGAAAGCGGGAAGAGCACCTTCATCAAACAGATGAGGATCATCCATGGCCGGGGATACTCAGATGAGGACAGAAGAGCCTTCACCAGACTGGTCTACCAAAACATCTTTACAGCTATGCAGGCCATGATCCAAGCCATGAACACATTACAGATCCCCTACAAGTATGAACACAACAAGGTAGGCCCAGCAACTGTTTTTCAGTTTCTTTCCATTGCTGCTTCCCTCAGACAAATTGCGTAAGAGGTTCTTACCACATACTGTCCCCGTCGAAGCATGCGCAGCATTTGCTTACAGCGTGCAGTGTTTATTAGTGTTCTGAAGGTTCAAGTTCTTCTGGTAACTTGTAGAAGTGTTTAGTTTTGCCATCGAGCTGCCAGAGACTTTTTGTCGTCTTAACAGAGCAGGTTGTCTTTTTGATGGACTCACGATGGCTCACTGCAGGCTTGTAAAGACACATAATTTCCCATTAATCGTACAGGAATTTGCACCTGTCTCACCAAAGGCAGGAGCTCATTATTCTCTTTTATTTGCTGCCTCACACAAGTATGCCTTTGTTCACCAGTTGGAGCTTCAGGTCTGGATGAGACTCAGACAGATAGAGATAAGTCTGACTCAGCATGACGTTTTTTTTTTTGTGAAAATATGCAGATGTCAATTTGGAGGTGATGGAGGCATTTTGCTCTTGGAGCACATGAACATTGGTTTCTAACTTTTAAATTGTCCTGCGTAGCTTCCACATGCTAGTAATAAACAAGTTCATTGAAATAATGTATGCTGCCTGCTGCCTTTTATGATATTGTATTCAACTAAAATCATCCCTTGATGAGAAGGGGTGGATTCAAAGCCGTTTTGGTTAAACCGTATAAATGATATGTGCAACCTCAAACAATATTATGACATCCATAAGTCCTCGTAGTTTGTTTGAAGGAGAACTCTCAGCTATTACCGCAGTAGGTGTTAGCTCAATATCTTTACATTTGTTTGAGTTAAAAACGTTTTTATGTTGGCTGAAGTCAATTAGCTGTGGTGACCATCTTGAATTAAGTTCATTCCAAACTTTGATCAATTGTAGACGTACATCTAATGAATATTTTCTAAGTGGTTTGGTAAAATTAATTTAGTGGTTCATGAGATATTTGGCTAACAGACAAACAGGGTTCACACCAAGAGTTAATGCCAATGTTTTAAGCAACAATATTGTGCCAAGTTCAGTGTTTGGAGTATCTAATGGGGATAATGCTCAGCTGCTACCACACCAAATATTTTCTATTTACTTTCCCTCTATTCTGTTTGTTGTGTTGAGAAGGTGTGCCCACCAGCTTGTGCAACGTTTATCTGTCTATCAGCTCTAGCTGCTCCAAAACATTTACAAGGAACCCCCACACACTTTTTTAAATCTCTGGTTGTGATCTTGCTGCTTCTACAGGTAGCTACATTTTCTGTTTCCACTCCAGACATCATGTTATTTTTTCCTGCTTGCTCTCGATGAGGACGGACACTTTTCCCTCCTGCTCCTGCCTCCCTTCTGCTTTGCTCTTTGTGCTGTGATTCCTATCGGAGCCTCTCACTACATATCTTCCGAGTTGTAAATTATGCCTCTGGTCAGCTGGTCTCTCAACGCAATTGATAAAATTTTCTCGACGAGAAGACAGGGCGAAGGAGAGCCCTCATGCCCTGAAGGGACACTCGCAGCAGGATACACTATGGATTCCTGGGGTCAGTGTAAGATGGTGTGTCTGACCGTATTGTCCGTTGAGGATGTAGAAGATGCATACATAATTGGATTTATGATAACTGGATTTCTGCTTTTTGGAGTTGGTGGGTATCTGGCATATCAACAAATTCGAAAGACGACGGCAGCGGTTCTGGCAATTGTGAGGCTGCCTGCCTTTTATGAAGGAATGTACCGAGCAGTAAGCTCTCAGACTCAGACGCTGCATGAGTTGAACCGTAAGCTGGATGCGATTTTTGAGAATAGTCACTTGTGGCTCCTGGGACTCACTGGCAGGAAGGAATCAACGTTGGAGACGGCTGCAAGCTTGGTCCGGAGGTGTGACCACAAAGTTTGGCTATTTGGAATCACCAGTGAGACATACCAGAAGAACTATGAAGGCAGACATGGATATCAAGCAGTGGCTGTCTGACCCAAAATAACTGTGTTATCTGAATTTGGCTTCCCCACTCGGCCTTTAATTGGCCAGCTGCCACAACTTTTCCTGGTTGTTTATGTGAACGAGAAGTTCTGTGCCCCCCCCCCCCCCCCCCCCACACCTATTGCTCCCCTCCCAAGGACATCTGTGGACCTGTGTCAGAGTTGAGCCAGCTGATAAACACTATCCCATCTTTATCAGGACTATGGAACTTTCTGGTAGTGTCTACGAACAACTCACTGCCCTCGTCGGCCTCCTCATGCATAAATGTGTTATGATGTTATCAGTATGTTGCTGTTTTATGTGCTGAGGTAATTTTTTTTTTAACTTTCACACTGTGTCCCGTCTAGAACACAGTGTGAGATTTGATTTTTTTACACCTACACTCCCCCCTCATGTTTCTTTTCCTTATTTGAAAAAAAGGCTGTGCCTCTCAAGGTTGGGGGCCTCAGTCACCTCCGTCTCCCCATGTTTGTTTCTCTCGGACGGGCTGTACTGAAATGTAATTTTGTTGCACTTCGGTGCAATGACAATAAAGCTGATTCTGATAATGATATAGAGCATGTTGCTGCAAACTATCAAGTTTCCTCCTGAATCGGAGTCCCTCTTCTCGTAAACAGTGTCAGCTGCACTCCCTGTCTAATGTGTTCTTCAGGTGAATGCCCAGGCATCTCTAGTCCATCATCATAGCTTATATATCCACCTCTTCTCCCAGAGGGATAATTATTTTTGTCTTACTCCAATTCCTCCTAAAATCCCTAATCTCTCTTTTGTTCTGTTCAGGATACGATGATTGGTTGCCTAAAAACAATTCACTAGTATCCTGTACTCAGTTTCCTGCCCACTACAGACACACCCCACAATTGCAAAATTCTTTAAGCATTTCTTTCGGAGACAGGATCAATAAAAATATGCACTCTGCATGTGCTCTGCTTTCAGTCCAACAAAGTAGAATGCGTCCATTGGAAATGAGGCAATGAGTGCATCAGAGGCTCACTTGGTCTCTCATGATCATACCATTGTCCATTTTTAATTTGATTAATGGTCATGACTTCTATTGTTTTCTTCTGATCTCTATATCTTTTTGTAGGTGGTATAAAATGTTATTATAATCATGGGCTTCTGTTGGCTAACCTTTGTCAACCCTGCGCTGAGCTCATTATCCAACAGAGAGCTGCAAACAGAAACCTTTTTGAACGTTTAAAGAGGCATGGTGTGTGTTGCACTATCAACAAAGAGGGTTATATTAAAATTACTGCAGCTGGCAATAGTGTTTTTACGTATTGTTTGTATTGTCATACTAATATAATGATGCAGCTACAGAATATTGATGCTAATGAAAAAATGACATCCAGCTTTATGATCTCTGGAAGCTATTATTTTTCATTGAAAAGTGGAGACAGAGGCTTAAATAGGGATTTAAAAAAAATAACAGTTAGAAGAAAGTAATAAAGAGGAATATATGAGAATAAAGTATATATTTACAGCACATATTTTACATTATTATGTATGAAGAGGCGTCTTAGGCTGCTGCAGAACTCGGCATGAACACAATGAGACACTGATTCTAAGCGACAGCTGACAGTTTGTGTTAATAAACTTCACAAAAGCAGAAATAATTTAGTATTAATCTGGACTCCTAAGAATGAGACTAAAAGCAAAAAAATGACACAAAATTTGGAAAGCACGTTGTCTCCTTTAATAATAATAATAATTTTTAGTGGTAGAATACAAAAACAAAGCTGAACCAGAGTGTCAACCTCACTTTCGATGTGTATTATAAAGTTATAACCCTAACATTTGATCTACAAAATGATAGTTTTTGCCAAACTTAAGGTTTTTAAACAGTATTTTAAAAATAAAATGCGAAACATTTTTGCAGCAAAGTCTGTTACGTTACTAAACAACAATCTTTTTGATGGGACCTTCAGTTTTAGTGTCACCCACTGCAATGAAAGATGGCTGACCAGTTCTTGTACCTCTTTGAGTGTGTATCTTTGTCTGTCTGTTAGCAAAATAACTTATGAATCAGAGAAAGCATTTTAACAGAACCTCCAAAAAGTAATCAACATGTACATTTACAACTGATTAACATTTGGAGTCAACCCAATTCAAGAAGGCAGCTAATTGATCTTAACCAACAAAAAAGTAGATATAACTCAATTTTATAGCTACGGAGATAAAATGTGGTGTGGTGGTAGCTGAGAGTCATCTCCAATACATATTCTAACTGAGGGAAGGAGGTTGTTTCCCAAAATCTCTCACTACATGGCCCCGGTCATCCTCTCCTTAATACAGTGCAGTCGTCCTGTCCCATGTGCAGAAAAACACCCCCAAAACACGATGCTTCCACCCCCA